TCTCTCTCTCTCTCCCCCTCCCCTCCTCTCTCTCTCTCTGTGTTTTCTTTTCTTTTTGAAAAGAATCTCTCTGTGTTTTCCTTTTGATGTTTGTCTAGCCATGATGGTAAACAATTATCAAACTAATTTAACTGTCAACGGGCGTATCTTGCAGGATCTCCCATCTCTCTCTCTCTCTCTCTCTCTCTCTCTCTACATGCTGGTGTGACTGTAGATATTGTCAAATTCTTAGAGCTTTAGAGCAGCTCATCTTTCCTGGATTTCTGGCTCACTATGTGGATGATTATGCAGATTGAACCAGCGGCAAGAAGGCAGCTGGTCGAGGGGCTCAAACTGGTCCTCAGTTGACACTATTGACGAGCAATGCAGTTTAGTGGACTGGTGGTGTTTATATTTAACGAGTTGGGGTTCTGCATCTACATTTGAAGTACCTATCACTGAGCAGATGTTATCGAAAAACTTCCTACCTGGAAAATGCCATTTGATCTGATAACCCTATAATTGTTATCCCGTTTTATGGAGTTGTAATCCAGAGGCAATAGAAGTCGAGAGAGAAGAGCTTGGAAGCTCCTGATTATCTTTTGCTTCTACAATTGTAAATTTAGGCAAGATTTTGTTTTTCAAAATCTCTTATCTTATCAGACTCGACAAGAATAATAAAGCCTTTTGGTTATTTATGTAAGGACTTGGGGCTTTTTGGTTATTAGAACAAAAGAGAGGAGAGTTTCATAAAGGTTTGGGATGCTGTGATGGTGACAGGTTCAAACGATGCTGCTCTTTTCCTGATTTCTTTAATTTTTCTTTTTTTTTCAAATTTTAATATTTCTGTTATTGACTTTTCTCCTTTGATCCTCATTAGTCTTGAAAGCAGAGATTTGGCTTGGCCTTGATTAGTACCAAAATGATAATATTAATAATAATAAATTTAAAACTTTAAATCGATAGGCCTTTGTATTTGTTTTTTAGAGTTATAGGCTTCTGTATGTTATTCGAAGTTATTTGACATTTCTGTCATTGAGTATTCCATGATCAATTCTATTTGAATAGGGATTCCAAGAGATACCTTACATATAACTGGTCTTCTGACCTTCCAAGTTCTTAGTGATTGAGATGTTGATGAACTGACTCGAAGTTTTTAAAGTGGTAGTTGTTTTGGATATGTATACTGCAAACAGCAAATTGTTATATGCAGGCGGGGCTGCATGCAGGCACGCCCGCATAAAATCCTGGTCTACTACAATATAGCGTATCAAAACCATTTTCCAATTAATGCCGTTCATTGTAGGTAATCTAACTAGCGTCGAGTGTGCGTGTTGAAATCCAAGGAAGTGGCCCGAGGAAGAAACCATATGCTTGATCCAAAACATAGAAAGAATACGAACATACATTAGGGTGGATGGGTGGGATTGAAAGCTTTAGAGGTAATATAACACTAACACATGTTAAAGAAATGAAAAACAAGAGTGGGCGCCTCCCTTTTCTTTTCCCACTTTTCCTTTGTAAAACAAATAAGAAAGGATATCCCTCCATATGTCTCCACACATATAACGATTTGTCTACAAAAAGATTATTCGTCTTTTATATGTGGATGTCATAATTATTCTCAATCATTATATGTCAAATTGGATGGTTTGGGGTGAGTCCTGAAGTTTGAGATCTTTTTTTTTTAGAACTTTGTGTCTATTCAATAACAGTCTTACAACTACCCACTCTGAAATTTAAGAGACAATAATAATTGTGACGTCTATGTACAAAAGATAAATGGTCTCTTTATAGACAATCTCTTTTGAAATTGAAGGGACAATAATGATCGTTGCTTCCATGTACAAAAGATAAATGATTTCTTTATAGGCAATCCCATAATTTAATAAGTCTTGAGGTTCACAACTATTTAATTCAAATTGGTTGAATGAAAGTGAACTAAGAACAATAATATGAGTTGGCACTGATTTACTTATCAAGTCATATTAATATGCACATTGTTATCAGCTTACTTCGAACTACCTAATCTTTAAGGCTGGCAAACGGCAGTGTGGCCCGGTCCTTTTACTTTTTTTTTCTTGTTTTTCCCTTTTATTTTGCTTTGTTCGGTTTTGGCCTGGCCTTATGGGGACAAGGGCCAAGCAAGGAGCAAGACTGGCCGAGCCTAGGCCCGGCTTGTTACCACCCATACTGATCTTTCTATACAGACAAAGAAAAGTACATCATCACATGGTTTCTAGGGATTCTTTGGCTTTATAAATATTAATCTATGCTCTTCCTATGATTAGAAGATGTTTTATATTTGTAGTGTCGGTTGGTTCAAATTAAGTGACAAAATCAATCAACTTAAAGATCTAAATGTTCATTTTTTTAAAAAAATTTGTACGAAACTTCGATGGAATGATGAAAGTTTGACCTCCTCTACAGTTTTACACATACAATATGGTGGGCCGGCAAGATTCTTACCCGTGGCATGCATCACACCACAATACAGGCCAACTTTAACCAACTTACATTAAACTAAAACGGAAGCCCAATTCACACCTTTCCTGTAGCCACTATGCAAGGTGAAATTCATTGTCAAAAAAAAAAGAAAAAGAAAGAAAAAGCAAGAAGCATGTCGTATAATCAAATCCTGGCTTATTCACACTAGAGCATGGTGTACACTTACTACCTCGGGCAAAAGGCGAAACCAGAAATTTTGGAATTTACTTTAGGAATTATTTATGATTATTCACGGAAACCATATTGGTTTTGAATTCTCAAACACTGGGATCTGACATCAATATATAGGACAATGTTTATTCGATATTAAGATGTTGCTAGAGATTTGATTTTTTTTTTGTGAGTGTTAGTAGAGAGTGTGTGTTTATTTTCTCTTTTGGGGTTTTTGCCACATTGAGAATGTAATATCTCAATTTTGTGAGGTCCTAAAAGTACTCGATTAGGGTTTTGCCCATGGAGTCAATAGAAGCGCAGGAGCACACAATCTTTTGGCTGAACTCGAAGATGGAAACAGTAAGAGAAAGAGAAAGAGACGAGAACGAGTGGCTCTTAACTAGATTTGACTCACTTATGCAATGGTTTTGTCTGTGAAATTGTTGTCTCCTTTAACCAACGGTATGATATATATCTGTTTCAATAAAATATATATACATATGTTAGGCATAAGATATTGGATGAATATTTCACATTTTTTATTGGTATGATATATATCTGTTTCAATAAAAGATATATACTTATGTTAGGCATAAGATATTGGATGAATATTTCACATTTTTTATTGGTACGAGATGGAATTGGGGGCGAATAAATTGGACATGTGGTGGTGCATGACAAGGTTCCAAGGAGAAGCGACGACGGCCTATCGCCAAAGCAAATGTGCTCAAAACCACAACCCTATTTTATAATGTTATTACAACTGTTTTATTGAATCACTTTTCTTTCATATTTTTATAGTGGTCAATAACATGTTCATCGATGTTATTGGGACGATATGGATCATGGTTTGTAACTTTATTTAATAAGAAAAAAGCCCATGTGATATCATCAATGTGGTCACATTAATCCGATGAGGTTATTACTAGGAATGAGCTTATGGCTAGGTAGTCAGGGTGGTAAATATGACATCTTGAGTTCTATTCTTATATTGAGTAAGAGATCCATTCCCCATTGAATTATCCTGAAAAAAAAGAAAGAAAAGAAGATAATTACTATTCCACAGGAAGGTTGGACAATAATAGATGGGAGAGTCTCACCACAATGTTCATCATTGTCAAAACTTTTTCTCAATTAATTGGAGTCAGTTACACGAATCCTGACCCGCCAACTAAGAAATAATGAGATGTTATTTTTGCTCCATAACCATACAACCGAGGATGATCAACCCCATAATCATAATTGCTACTATGAACATATGAACCATACAACTTTATTTCCCATCGTTATAAAATCGTTTGTTAGTTGTGTTTGTCTATATAAGGTGTCAACTTTGAAAAATCAATGTAAAAGACATCCAAATCTTGTTAAAAGACATTATTTTGTTGTCCGAAAACCTTTACGATGACCAAAATATCTATTTTGACCTCTATTTGTGAATATTAAAGCACGAAAAATAATGTAGATCGAGCAATAAACGGACTCAATAATAATATACATTACTTTTAAAATTTAATTTTTTAACTAATTATAAAAAATTTCGGCTTCAGATTAACCTATTTAAGTGGAATCACGAAATGCATCATACTTGTATATTGCAAGTTACAAGACGTTAACATCTTATATAAACTTTGCCCTTTTGATTGTTTATATGCTATTATAAAACCGCTGGTTTGAATGTATTATTATTGTTAAATTGATTTTAGGGCTGCACCCCCGGGTCATGGAGGCCAGGTGTTATATGCTTCGTTCCCTATTAATACATCCACTAGGGAAGTTGCCAACATTTGCAGTCCTCTCTCTCTCTCTCC